GGCAACCAAGCGAGAAGAGGGAATGGTGTTATGAGAAGTATTTAATAGAGCAGTGAGTGAGTAAACCACAGGGGAAAAGGGAGAGGATCTGCAGAGAAATGCAGAGAGATGCTGAATAGTTTAATACATGCCAGGTGTTTCCAAGAAGTAATACCTGGAAGACCCTTGGAAAATAATGAGGTTTCTTTTACCATACATGGGACCAGGGACTATAGGAGAAGCCCATTTTCAAAGCCAGGACCAAGGAGGAACAGGGAATTCACTCTACAAGTGAGTTCCTCTATAATGAGAGCTCTGTGCTCGTAATAATAAGGACTTGATGTTGACTTTGAAGTGACCCACAGATCATTGTAGGGTAGCTTCCTACGTGCCAGGGTAAGGTCTGTCTGTAATATTGACTCCTCAAAGTAACTTCCTGAGGTTGATATTGTCAGCCGCACTGTACAGATAAGGGAACAGAGGGCAGGGGAATTAGGTAACTGCTTAAGGCACAGGTTTATAACAGCAGACCTGAGACTAGGATCCATGCAGCTCTGGGGTTCAAAGCCTGTGCTCTATGAACAATATCATACTGCATAAGTATCTCCTACTCATGGCCATCAGTTCTTGTAGGGGGATTAGCGTGAACCATAACTGTGGGAAAGAAGATAGGTACAGAGGTTAGTAATCTGATAGGTCTGAGACCTATCATTTTCAGAGGCCTTTGACTCACTTTAGACTTCTTTTTCTTTTCTCTTTAAGGCTACACTAAGTGGGAAAAGGATGCACCAAGATATTTTTAAAAATAAAGCATATTAAAATACATGATTTCTAAACTTCTGGACTGATTTCCAAAGTCCAACAACATCCCTAATAGGAGTTGAGATATGTGTAAATCTGAATTTTTGGAGGCTCCTTCTTTTTCTAGTAGCATCAAATATGTAGTTTAGTTATTTTAAGGGAGAAAGCTGGTTAAAATAATTAGTAGGAACTGATAATGCAACTAAAGATCTGGGGCGCAATTGTTTGTGCTTAAATCCTAATTCTTCTACACACTGGTTGTGTGGCCTTGAGGAATTTATTTAACCTTGCCAGATCTCAGTTTTCTCATGTGTAAAATAAGAATAAATAAAAAATGCTTACCTCATAGATTTAGGGCAACAATTAAGCGAGTAAAGTGCTTAAAATAAGGTCTACTTGGGACCCGCAGATGACATGATAGTTGATGTGCTAGACTCCCACATGGACAACTGCAATTTGAGTCCCTGACCTGGTGGCTTGCTTTCTCACTCTCCCTCTCTTTCTATCTCTATATCTCTCTCTATCACTCTCTAATGAGCGCATGTGCCCTATAGCAAATTAAAACAATAATAATAAGGCATTCAGATAGGAAAAGAAGAGGAGAAATTATCTCTATTTGCAGATGACATGATTGTATACATAGAAGACCCAAAGGGATCCATGAAAAAATTTCTGGAAGTAATAAATGAATACAGTAAAGTTTCAGTATACTAAATCAACATACAAAAATCTATAGTATTTCTACATACAAACAGCAAAGAGACTGAGACAGAACTGAAGAAAGTAATTCCATTTACCATAGACACAAAAAGTGTAAGATATTTTTTATATGGTATAAATCTAACCAAAGAAGTCAAAGACCTCCACAAGGAAAACTATGAGAAGCTAAAAAAGGAAATTAAAAATGACACAAAAAACGTGGAAGGACATCCCATGTACCCGGATTGGAAGAATTAATATAATCAAAATGGCAATTCTACCCAAATTAATCTACATATTTAATGCAGTTCCAATCGAAGTACCAGAGACATTCTTTACAGATCTAGAAAAAAGATAGTTGTAGAATTTGTCTGGACCCATAAAAGACCCCGTATTGCCAAAGCCATCCTATGTAAGAAGAGTAGAGTAGAAAACATCTCACTCCCTGTCCCCAAAATATATTACAAAGCTGTGGTAATCAAAACAGCATGGTATTGACACAAAAACAGACACGTGAACCAATGGAACAGAATAGAGACCCCAGAAATAAACTCCCAAACATACAGCCAAATGATTTTTGAGAAAGGGTACAAGCCAATCTAGTGGGAAAAGGAAAAACTCTTTAGCAAATGGTGCTGGAAAAATTGGGTATCCACCTTCAGAAAGATGAATCTGAACTCCTACCTCTCACCATTGACAAAAATCAACTCACAGTGGACCAAAGACCTAAAAGTAAGACCTCAAACTATAAAAACTACTGGTGGAAAACACTGGTGAAACTCTGGGAGATATTGGGGTAGGCAAAGACTTCTTAAATAAGACCCTCAAAGCACAGTCAATAATTCCAGAAATAGACATGTGGGACTACATCATATTAAGGGGTTTCTGCATGGCAAAAGACATAGTGATTAGTGTGAAATGACAATCCACAGAATGTTAGAATATTTTTGTAAATTATGCTTCAGATAAGGGACCGATAACCAGAATACACAGGGAACTCAAGTGGCTTACCCTCTAAAAAATTATCAACCCAGTTAAAAGATGGGAAAATGAGCTGAAAAACCAACTTTCTAAGCAAGACATACAAACAGCCAAAAGACATTTGTAAAAAGTGCTCAACATCCCTCATCATAAGGGAGATGCAGACAAAACTGCAATTAGATACCACCTAACCCTGGTCAGAATGACCAAGATTAATAAAACAATAAATGATAGGTGCTGGTGGGGATGTGGTGAAAGGGGAATTCTCCTACATTGTTGGTGGGAATGTAAATTGGTCCAGTAAATGTGGAGAGCAATATGGAGATTTCTCAAAGATCTGCAAATAGAACTACCATATCCAGCAATCTCATTCCTGGGTATCTCCCCAAAAGACAAGAAAATATTTAGTCAGAAAAGTGCTTGCACATTTATGTTTATTGTGGCATTATTCACAATTGCTAAGACATGGAACCAACCAAATGAGCATGGACAGAAGAATGGATTGAAAAAGTGTGGCACATATACTCTATGAAATACTACTCAGCCATTAAAAAAAAAAAGCCAACACTGGCTTTTGATACAAAGTGGACAAATATGGAAGATTTACTGCTGAGTGAAGCAAGACAGGCTGTTAAGGAGAAATATTGTATGTCTCCACTTAATATATACTGACTGTCCACACTCTTGTGCCTGAAACTGAAAGATTAGAGGATATAGAAACACACAAAATGGTTATAGATACTGGATACAGTGTGGGGAGAGGTTGGGAGAAGGAAGAGAGTCTGAGGAAAGACAATAAGGAGAAAAAAAGAGAGCAAGACATTCATGGGACACGGGAATGGATTATTATCTGCTGATGATGACGTGTTTAGTATCCCCAACTGGACTGCTGTAAAATGTACTTATGTTGGAAAATTCACTTTGTAAGCTAAGTGATGTGTAGTGATTGAATGTATAAAATTAATTAAAATAAAATAAAAATATTTTAAAAAGTAAATAATTTTTATATTTTAGATATACATGTTGAAACATTTACTGATGAAATGATATTGGATCTAAAATTTATTTCAGTCATGAGTTGATCTTTTTTTCAAAGATTCATAAGAACACATGGTAGTATTTTATACTGTTTTTTATATTTTTTCACATATGAAAGTACTCATTAAAAAGTTGAAAATAAGAGTCAGCAGATGGTGTGGTGGTTATGGCCCTGGACTTCCACATGGTTGACCACAGTTCAAATCCCAGCAGTTGATAATCATGCCAGATGTGTGTATGCACATGGCCTGAATCTCGAGAGAAGAGTGGATGAGAAGGAATTGCAGTCAAACAAAAGAGAATATTGCGCTGTGTGGGAAGGTCCTATAGGAGAGTCACAGCATCTAAAAATTGGATTCAGATTCCCTCGCCACTTGTGCAAATCCATGGTGGATAGATACACATTGCTCTGCTATGCACAGTAAATTGAAATAGGCACTGTGTGGGGGCCAGTAGGTGACATGGTGGTTGGGGTGCTGCCCTTCCACATGGCAAACAGTAGTTTGAGATCTGGACCTGGTGGCTTGCTTTCTCACCTTCTCTCTCTGGTGAATTAAAATAACAATAATGATAAATAAAATTAAATAAATAATTCTTACAAAAAGAAAGATGAAGATTCTTTTGCAATTCTCAAATATGAGAAAAGATCTTTTTTATGATTTTGCCTCAGCTGTTCAGAATGTCTTGACTAGCTTGTAAACTGGCTATCAGAGACTGTGTCCAACACAGCTCTTTATGGTTCATGCATGCAGTAAGAGGCACAGGGCAAATAATTAATGGAGTGAATATTTTTGTTGTTAACTGTAGTGTAGAACACAGCATTGGCAGTGTCACGTGTAAACAATGGAGAGCATAGCACTTTAGGTTTCTGATTTTTCATGCTGAGGCCAAGTTCAGCTCACACAAATTCATATGATATGATATTATATATTCTTTCACACTTTGCTGCTGGTCTACAGTACATTATGCCAAAAATAACAGGAACAATGTCTAGTGTTATAGTATGGTACATGGATGCGCTGTATCTTGATTATTGTCAAGTTTGGTAAATCCATCTGTCTGACTTTGCAAATCCACGCATCTTTTCTTTCACTGGTATTTTCCTTCTTTGAAAAGAAGGAAAGAGGCTAGATGGTGGCAAAATGCCGTGCTCTGGAGGTGACCCATATAGGAAAGTTTCGGTTTGTGTCTCTGAGTACATTGCAAATGCCCATGTCTGTGATCTGGGGCTGGCTAAGGCTTGGGGTAGATCACAGTATCAAAACTCTGTTGGGGATGCTGTCTTTTTGTCTCTGTCTCATATCTCCTTCTCTTTCTCTCTCTCTCACCAAAAGAGATACACTGAAAAAAAATTTTTTCCCCTTATTTTGCTCAACTCCTCTCCTTCCCAGATGCTTCCAAAACAAGGCACCTGGTGCCCTCATATCATCTCTTATCTGACTGGGTCCCTCACTGCGACACCTCAACAAACTTCATTTTTTGTTATTGAGACTGACCATTGCCTAAGAGAGGAGCTTTTTTCCCAAAGCTCTGAGCAAAGCATCCTTGACCTCTTTGTTCCTCAGGCTGTACACAACAGGGTTCAGCA